CGCAAACAGAAAGAAATTGTTGGAAATGTTGCGTAATCAGAAATGACAGACAGAAGTTTCACTTTTCAGTTCATGAGCACCGCACACTCAAGTTCATATTCACACACAGCAGATCCACTGGGAGGGAACATTTCATTCCAGCTGCTGTAAGATCACATACTTCAAGTTACTTCACTGAATTTATTCCACACAAACATCTCTGCTGCGCAGTTGTTAGATGCTGATGTTGTTGCTAATTGTGCTTTTGTTTATCCATGATGACATCACATGTGTTGACTTCGTGTACTGTTGCTTCTCTCCTCCTGCTTCTTGATCAGTATGCCCGTTTGTTGCTGGCTAACGAGGTAACCACTGAGGTACCTGAGGAATCTCTTCCCTCCTGTAACTGCCTTTACTGACAGACCTGGGTCAGACCATACACATTAGATTCATATACAACAGAGTCCAAGTAGATGGCAAAAATCAGCTTTATGCAGTGCCGTGCAAAAGTTTCAGGTACTAAATGTGAACTAAGGATGGATTTAGATCCACTTCCATAAAGCTTTCTTCAGGGTACAATAAAAAGAAATCTGGTTAATATTTAGTGTGAGGACCCTTTCCCTTTACAGCATCATGGCCTCTCTGGATTCAAAATAAGCTATTTCTGAGTCAGTGTTGATACTAGGGTGAGCTTAAATAGTCAGTTTTGTTTAGGAAGAGTATTTGGACTAAGTGGCCCATGGGAGCCATACTAAGAGCTGGCTGGATTCTCTAAAGACTCAGGAAAAGTGCTTTAGTGCTTCCACCCCGTTAGCTGAGAATATACTGGATTATCCTCTATGAAAGAAAAGAAGTTACAGTTATGAATGTGGTTTCCATTTAATACCATAACCTGCTGTTATGTTTTGAACATCATCAAACTCCCAGCTGAGCAATAAACATGAAGCTCCTGTAATAAAAACCTTTATATAAAAAAAGAGCTCTATTAAAATAATCAGAGTGAGTTTAAATTTGCATTACTTGTGTGTGTCTCACTGGATCGTTGGGATCATAATTTATTAATTGGACTTTGGGTCCTTCATTACATTCAGTTATTAATAATAAGAATCTAAATGTGTTTATTACCTAAAACCTTTGCACAGAAGTGTAGCATATATCAGTATCACCTGAAGAAACTGCCTATTCACAGTGATTTTGACTTCCCGGGTCCAGTTACAGAGTCAGAATGAGAAGAGTTCCACTTCCACTTTGTTGTTTTCATCTTCTAATTGTCCTTCAGTCAGTCTTTTAGAAATGAAACCAGTGCTGAAAATGTAGATGGTAGATTGGAAACCATAGACAGGGCACTTTCTGAACAAAACCCACATGTGTTTTTATGTCTGCTCCCAGGTCTGGTTGTACTCTCATTTCCTTGTTCTGCTCTTTGGTGTTGGTGCTGCATGTGCTTGTCCGTGGATTTGGTGTGAACCTTTAATCCACACATTCCAATTTATGTACATGCTGTATAGTGTTGATTTAAAAAGTTTCTTTCAATATTTAAAACAGAAGGAGCCATTTTAATGGTGCCATATAGCTATATATGATAAATATGTTTGTAAATGATATTCAAAAGTGTGTAGTCGTTAAAAGATACGGTACTTGGGTGTGCTTCAATCTGACACTACGTAATTGGCCTAAGCTTTGAGAAGCTCATGTCCATACTTTTCTATCATCATGACTGCTGTCAGCCCTCTGCCACTACCCACAATCCACTTCACCTACACCCTGTCCTGATCTACCCTGGATTCCAGTTGACAAAGAAATCTTTTCCCCTTGTCCTTGTCTGTCTGCTTGAAGGTGATTGTGAGTATCAGCATGGGTGTGGGAGAGGAATAATGACTGGACACGTTTAATGTGGTGTTCAAGCATGAATTTTCCCTGAAATGGAGTAAAGTTACTTTTGTTGTTGCTGTCAAACACTGCAGGTGCTCTTTATTTTTGTCATTTAATTAAAGTGATTAGATGTGCGCGCCCTCAGTGTTTGACATACACTGCATGTCATGTTAAAGTCACTGTGGCGTGCGTGTTTTGGGGTTTTTGTTGTTGTTGTTTTTTATGTTTGTAACAATTACATCGCTCCCGGTCGCACTTGCATCTGATTGGTTGCTTTGTAATCATCAGGTTCTGGAGGCCACTCGTGTGACCAGGAGGAAAAGTGACATGGCGCTGAAGTGGGAAGCCGGCATCTATGCCAATGAGGAAGGCAAGGAAGAAGAGGAAGAGGAGGAGGAGGAAGAAGAGGAGGAGGAGGAGTAAAAAACTCCCTTCAGAGACAACTAACAAGCCAATTGGAGAGAATGAAGGAAGAGAAAGACTGAAGGAAAAGTGAGAAAGCAAGAAGGAAAACTATTTATTTTATTAAGAGTATCTGAAGATCACATGACCCCAGCAGTGTGAACCAGTGGGGCTTTTTGGACCTGAAAACTGAAGGTATATTAGCATGTTAAGTGGCTGAGGATGTGGGAAATATGTGAAGGTGGTCAGCAATAAAAGAGACACTTCAAAGGTGTTTGATGGTGGTTTTAGAGCAACGTTTAGTGTTTTTAATAGCTGGTAGATGCTAAATGACTGAAATATTCTTAGGATTTTTCACCTTTATGCTATTATTCAAATAAGATCTAAAGCTTTTATTTTGACTGGTTGCCTGAGACTCTCTGATGGTGGTTTCATCTGCGCGTGCTATATAATAACCACAGTCATCTTCTGAAAGTGTGGAAAGCTTTTAATCAAGAGGACGAAATAAAAGATAGGCAGATGCAGCTATTCAAAAAAAGAAAGTTCTGAGAGGAAGTAGACAAGGAGAGGCCAGATCACCCTCTTAGTTTTTGTAATTTCAGAAATACTTTTACCTGGATTTACTACTGGAAAGCTGCTGTGTTTTCCAGGAACCGAACCGAAAGGTGCCCCAAAGCATCACTTTCAGAGCCCATAATGGCACAGTGCAGATATGACACAAGTTTGACACGCTTGCCAGGAGCTTTTGCCTTCTTGTCAAGCATCTTTACTGAATTTTGAGCAGTCAGCATCCTTTTTGTGTTAAATGCTAGTCAAGAAATTAGCAAAACTAGCAAAACTAAACTTGCCTTAGACCGCCAGTGCTTGTCGGTGAACGGTATGTATTGTATCCTCTCCTATCCTGCATTACTACACTGTCGGTAGACCTTAGGGAAAATAAGCAACCACCTTAGATAGAAAGTTTGCCAGTAATCGCTTCTTTTCCAGTGCAAACAGAAAGAAGGGGGGGGGCTACCTGCTGGTAGTGCTTGCACCATTTGAGTGAATGTGTGTGTTAATTAAAGGGCTGGGTCAGGGGTTTTATATAAAAAAATCACTTATTTTACTTTTGTTGGCTACGTCGCTTTGTTGACCTGTGCTTTCTGATGATGTAAGCAGTTGTTTCATGTATTATACTGAGGTAGGACTGTGTATTTGACCTATGAACGTCTGTATCTACTTGCTAGCCGAGGATAAAGTTTGATGAAAAAAATAATCAAAAAAGGTTTTTATAAGAAGTCGTTATACCAAAACAGAATGTTATTTAGAGAAAACCCACCAGCCTGAGCTCTCCACGTCCTTTTTAAGGCGTACAAGTGTGCGAATGGATTCACACTCCTTTCCTAACCTGAAACAAGCACAGCTGAAAAAAAAGTGCAGTGGCAAAAAGAAGGCAATAAAGGTCTTTCGAGACGCTGAGCTGTGCTGTAAGTTGGGCTTGTAAGGGTTTTTTTGTTTTTTTACTAACTGTATTGTGACTGAATTTTGCAGAATGACATTGATTTTGTGTTTTGAAGTGTTGAAATCATACAAAGTGACGAGGAAAAACAGGATTCAGCTTCAAAAGTAAAACAGTAAATACACTTTAACACAACCACACTTCTCCCTGGAGTATAACAGACTGTCTTTAATTTAAAATGAAAAGTAGAAATGTGTCAAACTGGCTGTGGAAACGGTATTTCTGGACAACTTTTGATTGTATTCCTCTGTCGTAGCCTTTGAGATTCGTTTCTGCGTCCAGATGTGAGGAGAAACAAAATCGTTTTTGTAAACCAAAAGTCACAGTTTTGACCTGTCCAAGTGCCCTTCAGCAAGGCAGCAACTTCTCTCTTTGCTTCCAAACACACTGAATGTACGCTGAGCTAAACCACAGATGTAATTGCTGGACATCTACTAACCTATCAAGTCAAGCCACACTTTGCAACTTATTCCACTCGGCTGTCTTGTGATATGCTTTGTCAAGAAAGCGTGGCACAAACGCCATAAACCAAAAGTGAAAATCAAGGACTCATTCCTCTGCGGTGTCCACTTCCACCAAACCCAGAACAAACAATATTAAAACCCACACATATGTTCCAGAGAATCATCCAAGTTCTCCTTTCAGGGTCTTCTGTGGTGCAGCAGAGGTGAAGTGTCTTTAACGCTGGTATGAGATTATTTTTGACTTAAAGGCTAAAAGACAACAGGACGGAAAAGGTTTTCATCCTTGTGGGAACCAATCAAAGTTCTCATTAGAGTCGCTTATGAAACGTACACACAGAGGAATTAATGAATGGTGTGATCTATTATTATTATTATAATTATTATTATTATTATGATTTTGATGTTTGAATTTATGGTGCAGAGATGATTTTATTTATCATTTTAAATGCTGGTAGCTTGTTTTCGGCCTACAGAGCTTCTCCAGTGTGGGACTCACTGTCTGTGTGTGTGATAAAGCAATCTTATTACTACAATATAAACACAGTATAACCCCTGTTCCTATGTTAACCACTTGTATGCTCATACTCTGCTTTGTTATTTTATAGCACATGTAAGGCTCACAGTTACACACCCACTATACATATTATGAATATTTTCTCATTAAAAACAAAACCTGTACATGTGGGTTTCCTGAGTGGTTCATTTGCATGTGTTTTCAGTGTTAATACTGGAAGTGGAGGTGGGGGGATCATTTCATTGTCCATATACATACACTAACCAAAGGGACACTTCATTCACACTTTGCTGTGACCCTATCCTCTGAATGTGGCAGCAGAGATTGAGACTCGTCACACCAGCCAACAGTTTTTCTAATCTTCTATTGTCCAGGCGTTCTGACTGATGTCCCACCAGGATAAGGCCCAGAGGAATACCCAGGAAACGCCTCGGTGTCCCCTACTGAAGAGCTGGATGAGGCAGTTGGTTAGAGGGACATTTAGGCTTCACGTTAGAGACTGCTGCACCTGTGATCTGGATAAGCAGTTGAAAATGGACGAATGGATGGATATTGTCCCGTTTTGGTGTACAATAAAATTTCAGTCTCCGTTTCCTGTTCTAAGCTGACAGGAGTGGCACCTGGTGTGATCTGCTCCTGTAGCCCATCTGCTTCTGTGGTTAACTGAATTACTGTTGCCATCCTATCAGCTCAAAGCATTGTGCGCATTCTCTGACATCAACAGGGCATTTTCATCCAGAGAACTGCCACTTACTGGATGTTTTCTCTCTTTTTGGATCCTTCTCTGTAAACAGACGAGCAGTTTGTGAAATATTGAGACCAGTCTATCTGACATCAACAACCATGCTGTGTTTAAAGTCACTTAGATCATATCTTCCTAACTGTGATGCACAGTTTGAATTTATGTCTTTTTGACTGTGTCTACCTGCCTAAAAACGTATGTCTCCATATGATTGGATGATGAAGGAGCAGTTGAACAGCTACCCACTGACTTGGCCCGGGAGTATACATAGAGTACACGTTACATTACAAACATTTGGAGGTATGTCTCATTATCGGACCAGAACTGAATAAGCAAACACTTCCTTGAGTTCTATTTGTGAGCTGTAAGCAGCAGCTTTTGAAAGTACCTTGTGGTTAGTGCATTGTTGAGCTTGTGGGAACCCATTGTGAATGTGCTTTTTTTCAGTTCAAATTATTTCTATCAACATACAACAGAGACCACTCTAGCAGAAGCCTATCCACAAAGACTGCAGTCACTGCTGTTTATTGGAAGGAAATTAAATGTTTCCTGTTTCAGGCTTCACCTGTTAGAGGATTACCTGCTTTCTGGTTTACCTTGAAATGAGCTGGCAGTAATGTCTGTATATGTGCTGTTGTATGCATGCGATATCTACTTCGCCTACAGCTCTTCATAGAAATTTACAGGAACTGCACATTTGATTTGGCTTTGCAATACCCGTGTAATTACATGGGTGGTGCGTGCTGGGTCTTTTTTCAGCATTTTAAAGTCACACACTGATAATTTATTTAAAAGTGTAAATGAAAATGAAAGTATACCAGCTGAGATGGATTAACTGCCTTCAATGGGTTCATATCTAATGCCATGTTTTGGACTGCAGCTCAGTTGTGTTTTAGTTTTATATCTCAAACCTAGATAAATGCAACGAGAGATGATTTGTGTGGAGATATAATAGGGAGCACAGAGAAATGGTAATGATGAAAATGTAAATAGTGGCCCAGAGCCTGATGAAAGAAGGTGGTTTCCTAAAATCTGACAGAGTGCACTGAAGCCAGCTGATCAGCAGCAGGGGATGAGGAAGTGGGCGTGTTTCCTCGGTGAGGCTGCTTAGTTTGAAGCACACGCGCACACACCCTTCACTTATTACTGACGGAAGCAGTTCTAGAAGACGGTCATCTTTATTTATTTATTTACAGAGCTACAACAATCCAGATCATGGTGGTACCGAACTTGTGTCAAGCAGCCTTCGCGATGCTTCGGCAGATCGAGCCGATCATCGTGCTCGAGCAGCTGGGCAGCACTCTCTTTGATACCGCGCTGCAGATGGTGGTCTGGGACCGCTGTGCCAACGCTACCGACCCGGGCCACTCCAGTGAGGATGCCCAGCAGAAAGCCATGACCGACTTCTACATGATCAACAACCTCATTATCCAGCTGACTCCCATCTTTCCTGCGCTGTTCCTGGCAAGACTGAGCGACCGCGGCCGGAGGAAAGCCCCCATCGTGTCCCCCCTCACCGGCTACCTGTTGTCTAGGGTCATCCTGCTCCTGGTAGTCGTTCTAAAACTGCCGCTGCAGGTGATGTTCGCGGCGGGGACTGTCCTCGGCCTCTCCGGCGGGTTCACCGCATATTGGCCCGGTGTAATGACTCTAGCTTCGCTCGGCTCCACGGCGGCCGACCGCTCCAAGGTGAGTTACAGGCGTGCTGCAGCTGCAAAGCCGTGGAAGGAGCGCAGAGAGGAGCCTCAAAAATAACTTACTTTCAATCACAAAACTTTGTGTTTGACTGTAAAACTGATGATAATGTGCAAAAACTAAGAATTACAAGGATATAAACGAATGAGTTGGGCCATTAAAGAAGACCTTTTCTTTCTTTTTCTCTCTCTCTTTTTTTCTTTTTTTTCTTTTCTTTTTTTTCCAGATTTTTCAGTCTTTCGCTATTATTTTTTTCAGGGATTTCCCTTATTCAAAAATGGCCTTTAGGTTTTATTGCTCATGTGAGCACAATTGGTCGATATACGAGCCTGCGTCACCTCTTTTAACTAAAATCTATGCAATGCAGATGTTGTACCTAAAAGAAACACAATACAACTCAAATATATATTCAGTGAACTTAAAAAAAAAGTAAGCTTAAACCTTTAACATAAAGCCATAAACACTTTCCCCCTCTTAGTCTGAGAGTACTGTGCTTCAGGAAGCATGTTATATGCACACAGGCGGTCAAAAAGAAAATTACATTTAATTACCAAATCACCCAGGGGTTAGCCCCCTCTGCTGTGGAGCCAGCTCCCAGTCTGGATTCCCTCTCTACTTTTAAGATTAAACTTAAGACTTTCCTTTTTGATAAAGCATGATGATAGTTCTAGATCAAGTGACCCTGAATCCTTCCTTAGTTGTGCTGCAATAGGCCTAGAAAGCTGGGAGCTTCCCATGATGCACCGTTTCATCTTCACTCCCTGTGTTAATACACCAATCTGCATGTAGTCATTAGTTATTATTAAGTTATTATTACTACTCTTGCCCTCTTCCACAGTGTTTCTTTGTCCTGTTTGCCTCCCTTCACCCCCAAACCCGTTGTGACAGATGGCTTTTACTCCATGATTCAGCTGAATTGAACTGAAAAAAAAAAACCCAAACAAAAGCAAAACAGTTTACTTTAACTGATTTATTCAAAGGAGCTTGCAGAGAAAAGCGTCTGGACTTCTTTAAGTTGCTTGAAGACGTTTCACCTCTCATCCGAGAAGCTTCTTCAGTTCTAAGGTCAAATGGTGGAGAGTCCCAGATTTAAACCTAGTGGGAGTATCCCCCCACAGAGGGACAAAAGGACCCCCTGATGATCCTCTAATCGCCTGAGCCAAGGTGTGAAACTGGGTGTGGGTCCCAATCAGCCAGAGTTTCGGGTGTGTTCATTGTGAAACCTTATCATGCGAATTCCTGAGGTCAGATGGCCCAGGATGTGAGTGGGCGTTAAGGCGTCTGGGAAGGGATCTCAAAACTGGATTATAGATGGCAGAGAGTTGGTGTCGTAAACCCCCGCCTCTGTTCAAAGATGGTCACTCACAGTGGACATAGATGGTTTCTTTCACTCCTCTTTCAAACCATCTGTCCTCTCTGTCCAAAATGTGAACATTGGCATCCTCGAAAGAGTGTCCTTTATCCTTAAGATGCAGATGGACTGCTGAGTCTTGTCCTGTGGAGGTGGCTCTTCTGTGTTGTGCCATGCGCTTGTGAAGTGGCTGTTTGGTCTCTCCTGACTGAGAACCTTCACAGACTTAACTGATTTATATTAAAAGAAATAACCCTGTGCCCCCTTGCAGGTGTTGATGAAGGTGGAGTTCATGTACGGGTTAGCAGGCGTGGTGGGCAGCCTCGCTTCTGGCCATCTGTTCCACCTGTACAGCTCCAGTTTGGGACATGGGACCATCCTGCTTATCATCAGCACACTGCTGCATCTGCTCTGCCTCTTACACTCCATATTCCTGCTGCAGGTCAGTGTGTGCACGTGAGAGGGTTCAGAGGGGGCGGGGGTCCAGTGTAGCCATGTGTTTTTTGTGTATTTCTAATTGTTTATTTTTATTTTTATTCTTGGAATCAAAAAATATACTGTGAATCAGCTTTGCATGATTCACAGTATATTTTATAATGGCCCTTCATCCACTTTGCTTCTAGCTCCTCCCCCCTTAAAGGTAAGTTTTTTCTGATTAGCTGCCCCTTCAAAACAAAAGGGCTCTGAACACCAGGTAGAGATAACCATATTCAGAGGATCTGATCCTACTGACATCATACAGAGCCAAAAGTAGAAAAAAAAACTTCTTTCTTTTTGGTGACCTCACCATGACCTAATGACCTAAAAGTACATCTATGACATAAAATAAAGAACAGCAAGCTAAATTGTCGATCATTAAACACGCTGCTGTAATAATAATGTGAATAATTACATTAATCTGTAATTATGTGTCTTATAACTAGAACCATCTTTATTCATGTTCTGCCTTCAGTTTTAGCCACACGTGCTCGCTCTACCACCTCGCCGAGCTCATATACCACGCATGTCCGTCTTTATTAAAGGTGAAAGGTGTAAGCGATGGAGAGCCGGAGGAGAACCGCCACCTACTGTTACGCGCCTCCACTAACTCTTCAGTTGTCGAGGCTCCTGTTGAGATAAACAGAGTGAATGTGTCTCTGCTGTTTGTGGCTGCCATCCTGTACGACTTTGCAGTGGGCGGAGCCATTGAAGTACTGGGCGCCTTTGTGCTGAGAGCACCACTCAGCTGGAACGCCACTCTAGTAAGTTTTTTTTACCCCATTTTTGTGATTTGATGCAAAAAAGATGGGATAAAAGTAACACTGCTAGTTTTAACTCTATTTTAAGCAGACGGGACAATTCTAAATATTAGTGTCTAAGCTTAGCCATCGGTTGGCTTGTGATTGGTATGTTGTTAGCTAATGAGCACACCCTTGTTCATCCTCCTTTCTGACTGTATGACTGTAGTCTTCTGAACAGACTGAGGGAACTGAGGCGTGTTTTCCCACAAATGTCTATACAGCCAGGAGTGTTTCTGCAACCAGAGGAGTCGCCCCCTGCTGGTCATTAAGAATAATGCAGATTTAAGGCACTTAAGCATTAATGCCATCTGTTCTAGTTGCATAGTCTGTTTATTATTGCCTCTCTATCGCTGAACATCTCTCCCTTCTTTTTTTTCTCATTTCTTTTCCTCTTTCTTCAGGTGGGGTACGGAAATGCAGCAGGCTGTGTGATCTTCCTCACCAGTTACATAGGTGTCATCGGGTTTCGACGCTGCTGCAGCGACACCTCGCTCATTCTGATCGGCATGGTGTCCTTCGCTGTCGGGATTTACTTCATGTCCTTTGTAACGACGACCCTCACTTTCTACCTCGGTAAGAACAAACATGTTACAGAGATTTTATAGTAAATTTGTGGTGGATTAGCAGCTAATAGAGACACTTCATCCAGAAGATTTGTGGCGGGTTTAGAGCTCATGCCACACGCACAGGCCACATCCTTTATTTTCTCCTATGACCTTTAAACAGAGTAAATAGGCCCCCAGTTTAGCGCCCCTGGTTGATCAGGCTCAATGCAAGCCTAACCTAGGATCCTTTCCTGTGTGTTTTCCCCCACTTTCCAGTATTCTTCTCAGTCATGTCAAATAAAGATGAAAAGCTGCCCTAAAATAATGTGTTTTTAAGTGAGAAAATAAAAAAAATTAGACGCTGAAAGCAACAAAGGCCCAGCTGTGTGACTGCTCCTAACCTGTTCTTCATGTGACACTTGGTATTATCTAAAAAACAGATCAGGTTTAGTTCCCAGAAGAGCTGCGTGTTCAGATTCCAATCGTTGCTTTTATTTTTACTTTGCCAAGTGGTTCGCACAGCAAACAGCAAATGGGAAAAAAAATTTGTGTTTATGCTTTGATGGATTAGAAAGTTTGACTCAGCAAGCAAAATAAGTTTGTGTGCTAAAATTCAAGCTGTTTATTTGAGTTTACGTCAGACCTAAAACATCACCATGAATCATAAAAAAGTAGGAACCAAAACAAGGAACTAGGAGTGATTATAAGCCATAAACACTTTTTCCCCCTTAGTCTAAGAGTGCTGTGCTGCAGGAAGCATGTTATATGCACACAGGCAGTCAACAAGAACATTACATTTAATTGCCAAATCAGCCAGGAGTTAGTTTCAACCAATTAAGTTTGATAAGGTTTATTTAACCCTTTGATGCATGAATTATGACCTCAATCAGGATTTTTTTCTTAAGTATTTTTATTCATCTTTAGGCTTGAAAAAAGATTTTTGAACTTCATTTTTTTAAACATGTACTTTGCAAAGAGTTTTTTACATATCCACTTAGTCCACTGGCTAGCCAGTGGGTGGCAGGGTATGGAGTCACACATCAGTGTCCAATGTGGTGGTTTATGTGCAAATATGCTATTCAACACTGACACAAATACAAGAAAACAGCCTTTGAATAGCTGTCCACTGTAGTGACCACTATAAGAGATCTGCATTCTTACTGAAGGCTAAGACATTCAATACTCAATGTGTACACCCAGCAAACAGCTACTCAGCTGAAGCTCACGGATAAACATGTGGAAATGTAAAAAAGGGACATTTCTCAGCAGTTGTGGTCTGGTCTATTTTCTGGCTATAAACAAATGAGATACTTTGCCTTAATTATTGTTTGGGCGGGATTGGCACCACTAGGATGTTTTTTATTTGCTATTTATCATACTTCACTTCTGAACTTGGACAATATATATACATATATATATATATATA